AAAAAAAAAGTATATATAAAATGGCAGTGTGGAGACATTTTTATCACAAAAATAAAATATGCTGATGTTAATTTCTAATAACAAATAACATCTGTCAACTTTAAATAATACTTATATCTCTAGAAACATTTAACAATGATTATTTTCTATTATTAAAGTAATGCATATACTTGCATTAGTATGCTTCGAAAATAAGATTAGAAGTATCAATACTTAAATCTGGCTATGAAATTTCAAACTTACTTTCTCTGTCACTGTAGTAAAGTACTTCATTGCTAGGTTCACTAACAACGATGGAAGTTCACCAATATCTCATATTAACAAACATCCCTATGAGACAGTAGAAAGACATATCCATTAAATAACTAACAAAGTATATAATACCAACAACAACATACTTAATGCTAAATGTATATAAATAAGTTAAAAACAATAAAGCATACAAAATTTCCCGTTTTCATACATTAGCACCGTTACTCTTTGGAAATAAATTTACGTTTACGACAGATATTGATACATGATCAATATACGATCATCACTCGACAGAATATTTCTCTGAGATTCTAAGACCAGTCCTCATACTGACTACCCATGGTTCATCTCATTAAATCCGCCGCTCTTTGTCGATCCCGATGGACCTCTCGAGGATGCATTCTTTTACGATGTGAAAAACAATTGCCGGAGCTCGCGAAAGCTTTCGGACAGTAAGGACACTGATAAGGCCTCGCACCCGTATGCTGATTTATGTGGAATTTTAGATCCTGATTTCGCTTAAACGTTTTATCACAAAGTGGGCATGCGTGCGGTCTTAAGTCCGAATGCGTTATGCTATGGGCACGTAACGTTGAATTCGTCGGATACACTCTCCCGCATACATTACATGGAAACTGTATGCCGCCATGATATTCCTTGTGTCTGAATAGATTCGATTGCGTTTTAAAACTGTAAGAAATTAAATTATCTTTAGTGATACTTATGGAAATCTTTTGAAGACAATGCATTAACCGATAATGATTAGCATATATTATAGATTAAAAACTTAGAATACTAAAAATATTAATATTATATGTACAAATCGTGAAAAATAATTTAGTTAATTTATTAAATAAAAATTTAATTAAATAAAAATTTAATTATAATTTTAATATTTTATAATATTTTAATTAAATTCCTACAAAATAATTGTTATGAGTGTTATTATAATGCAATACAAACGCACATTCTCCCACATATATCACATCCATATTTTCCCTTAGGCCTGTGCGTCTCTAAATGCACCTTCAAATTTCCCTTTGTAGAAATCTTTTTACTGCAGATTGGACAGATGAAATTGCTGGACGAATTGTTATCACTGTTCGTGTGAAGTACACCGTTTGTGGAATAAACGTGTTGAGATCGTAAAATAGGCTTTCCGTCGAATCTTCTTTCTCTGGGTAAGTGTGACCATAAGTGATTTTGCAAACCAATTTGCGATATAAAAGATCGAGCACATATTGTACATTCGTGTGGTTTGGTTGATGCGTTAGACGTAATTTTTTCACTGTCCTCATACAATTTAGATTCGCTTTCGTCTTTTTTCTCTTCGTCTTCTTCTTCTGCTTCAATATTTCTAGAATAAATAGAAAATATGTGTTAAATAAGTTCAATTGTCGATTTTTTCAGACAAGCAACAGCTTTATATAATATTATGCTTTATATTATTAGTAACAAAAAAATTTCTACTTGTTTGTTAAAGGTAATGGCTCAGGTGAATATGTCCCTGTTATTTCTTCCTCGTTGTCTGAGGAATCCGAAGCTTCTGATGCAGACTGTTCCATACCGCATTGTAAAAATAGCATTGGATCCACTTTTACCTCCATTTCCTCCATACTTGGAGTATAACGTTTATCCTCTTGGGAATTTAACTCTGATGGTTCCAGTGGCTCATCTTCAGTTAAAATTTCTATCACACCCTGCAGAAGACAGTGATAATGAATTATATATTACATATAAAAATGTGAAACAAATCTACAATATATAACACATACTTTTGTCAATATTGAATGTAACAATCCTCGATCTTCTGTCTTCTTTGCAGTATCTTTAATATCCTGTATCTCATCATCTTGTACAAGATTCGTATTGTCAATATTATTGTAGAACTGTGATCTCAACTTTTCCTGGGTACGGTATGCCATCATTGCAAAGCGATGGACACCTTCCAGTCTCTTAATGCATATAGAACAGATCATTTTTGAAATCTTGTCCTCCAATGATACCTAAAAAGAGTATTTTTAATAAAAAGTTTATAATTCTAAAACATACTATATATACATATAGAACTTGAAATCTTGTCCTCCAATGATACCTAAAAAGAGTATTTTTAATAATAAGTTTATAATTCTAAAACATACTATATATACTATATATACTATCTTTGAAAAATTACAAGCAACTATTACTGCAAAATTATTTGCATGTTTTATGATCTAAATATTTATAAATATCTTATAAATCTAATATTTATAAATCTAAATATTTTATCTTTCTGCAAATGTTATATATTAATAATAATATATTATTATTAAAA